TTTTAGAACTTCAGTCAAACGTTGTTTAACTGGGGCTCTAACCCTCTGGGACTTTAGTCAAAAACACTTTTGACAAGGACTCCAACCTCTAGGTTTTTAGTTGAAATGCCTTCAACTGGGACTCTAAACCGTGTAGGGCTTTAGTAAAACGTAGTTTAGCTGGGACGTTTTCCGGGGGGCTTTACATCATTAAAACGTAAACAGTGAGAAAGAGAAATAAAAAGCTGTAGAACTTTAGTTGAAATGCCGTCAACTGGGACTCCAACCATTCGGACTTTAGTCAAAATGCCGTTTGACAAGGACTCTAACCTCTTGGACTTTAGTCAAAAAGCCTTTTGACAAGAACACTAACCTCTAGATATAGCTCTTTTAAAATTCACTTACGTTTCTGTTATCATGTATATCATTAAAACGTAAACAGTGAGAGAAATAAAGAGAAATTAATAAATAGATAAAAAGAAAAGATAAAAACATTAAAAACATCGAAGACATCAAAAACCCAGACTCTAACCCTAATTTAGCCATAAGCAACTCTAATGACAATATATGTCATTGTATATATCTAACCACAGAAAAGAAAGCACTTCTGTTTGTTTAAGGTCACCATAAAAAAGCCAGTAACACAGCAGCTGGATAGAGACATAAAGCTACAGAGCAGGATTTTACAGTTATGCTTCTTTTTATATTAAAAGTAAAGATGGTGAACTGCTGCTGTGGGATTATATGCTTTTTTAACAGCAATGAGGTATTAATGTCAATTCCATTCCTATGGGCTACAAAATATGGAGTTATGTCTTTTTAAGTGTCTACATTCTGTCACAGCTCACTGCAATAGTTTATGCTGTGTTACTGAGGCCTCATGTGATGTATTTCTCTGGGTCTGCACACAATGTAATAAGCCCCTTAAGACCTGGCATTGGACTTTGTACTTATTCATACCTCTGCAACAAGAACAGCAGACAACTGAGAGCTTAATAACATTAAGACCTTATCATCAACTTTTCCATTCATCAGTGAGCTTCCCAACAAAAATCGCAATAATGGTGGATAAAATGTGGTAATTATTGTTTATGACTTTTAGAAATTCTGTACAATTCACTGTACTGACTGAGTGTGAAAAAAACAACAATATTACTATGCTTATCCAGACATGGAAAAACTAAATATCATGAGGCAAATATAATCATTTTCCAGATCCTCAAGACCATGAAGGTACCCTGTTAGCACATTGCTCAAATTTATGCAACTACTCCAGCTGCACTGTCTTTACTTACATTTCTTGGCCAAACTGGATTTCTGCAAATGAGCCACATGAAGTCATTTGGATCACAGGCTTTGAGATCTCCACTTTATTAGCAACCAATTGTTCAGCAACATCTGAAAAGACATAAAAAGAGCCAAACTGTTGAAATTCTCTTGCTCAAAAAAAGTTACTTACGCCTCACAAAGTGACATCTGTCCGTCCATCGTCCTTTTCTTATATGAGATCAGATTGCAGGGGTAACAGTTTCAGTGAGGACACCAAGACATCCCTCTCCCCACCGACACTCTCCAGCTCACCCAGGGAGACCCCAAGACATTCCCAGGAAAGAAGGAAAATTTCATGGTTTTATCAAGTTCTGGCTCTCCCTCAATGGTCTTCTCATTTTGTGGTTTAGAATCATGGACTCTGACTCAAAGGAGGTGAGTCTCACTCCAAAAGCTTCATATACCTCTGTGAAAGGCTCTACTTCAGCCTTAAAGTCATGGATTAGGGTTAGATGGATCCATGGAAGATGCCAACAGAACATCATTTGCAAAAAGAAAAGATGACACAAACCAGACACCCTCCACTCCACAATTAGTCTTTGATTTCCTGTCCATTAACACCACAAACAGGGGAGGGGGATGAGTCCAGTGCACACTGGAAATAAGCTTGACTCTGTTTTAATAATGTGGATACATGACTAAGTAGCCATTGAAAGCATCACCAGTACCTCATACTCCAGTAGCATGCCCTGGAGGATACATCATGAGGACACAGTCATAAGCCTTCGCCAGATCACAAGACGGTTCTGGACCAGGCAACTAAACTCTTATGTTCTCCAACACAATTCCGCAAGGATAAAGATCTAGTCCAGTGGTTCCCAAACTTTTTCTCCTGGGTCCCCCTAGTGGTTTCCAAACATTTTCTGGGCCCCACTATGGGTTACAAATAGCTGTCTTGTTGAACGATGTAAGTGTGGTGTGTGGTGTGTGTGTGGGTGTGTGTGTGTGTGGGGGGGGGGATTCTTAGAGACACCCTGTCTCTAAGAACAGGGGGGCGGGGACTTTTTTGGGGGCAAAATGAATGTACGTAGCTGGACATAGACAACAACATCGGTAGCCTACAGGCTACTTGTTAAGCTTAAGGTGCTGTATTGATATTAGCTAGTCAGTTATCTTTTAGCTAACTTTACCTGCATCCAACAGCTTTACTTAACTCAGATGGTTAGGTTGGGGGAAAAACTGTGAAAAGTTCTTTGTGTTTTGCTGGTTTGCTGCCATGATTCTAACACACACCTGCGTAGCTCTGCACCCAGTGCAAGTGTCATGGCCGTCATGTTGCGATTAAAGACAACTCGGAAAAACAGGTTACCACATGTTAACAACAGATTAAACAGTTTTAACTGCTGATAAAAGTGACAGATGACAAATATATGGGAAGTGTGGAAGCCCCTACTTTTTCAAATTGACATAGGAATAACAGAGAGTTGGCCATTCTAAGGTAAAAACCCAGCGCATACAGCGTTCATCCAGACGGATATTTTCATCCATACGGATGAAAACACCACTACAGAGTGGTGTTTTCATCTCGACGACTTCCCACAGCCTCCCTGCAAGGGGGTGCGCCCCACAGTTAGGGAACCTCTGATCTAGTTCATTGATTTGAACAATTGAATTTGAGACAATTGATTTGAATATCGTTTCCAATCATTGAGTAGGCTTTCCCAGGAAATTTACGGTTTGATCCCTCTACAGTTGGTCCCTTTCTTAAAACTTTGGGAATACCACCCCAGCCTACCACTTCACAAACTGACTTACATGAGAGTCCTAAAACAGAAAGCTGTTGAAGACCCTCTTTCTCTAGTAAGTGGTTGTAATACCTTGTGGATAACTCAGAGTCTCCTGGCGCATCTCATATCTTTTCTCCATCTTTTGAAGGTCCATTTTTTTCACAAGATGGCATTTGTGGTCATCATCAAAAGAAAAGCACCACACCTAAAACAAACGTGAATTTTCATATTTGCAATTTTCGATCTTCACATTTGGGTACCCACCATGATTCTTCTCAGACACTAACCTGTCCATCGGCTGAGCCGGTAATAAGCTGCTTTTCCTCCTCCAAGAACAACACGCTAAGCAGAGGAGACCCTAAAAAGGTTAAAGCATTGTTTATTTTAAATTATTTTGAAATGCTTTGATACAATACTTCTAAGACAAAGATAGATAACCAGAATAAGTATAACATATATTTTTGTTATGACAATGTCATTGAGTCAGAGGAAAAAACTATCTAAATCAACCAAGCCCTATGTGAAAAAGATGTGATAGTAATAAGATAATAATACTTTATTGATAAGGGGGTTAAGGGGAATTTTGTTTGTTCCAGCAAAGTACATAATACAAATTAAAATAAATAAATAAAGCAATAAGAATAAACATAAAAAGTAATCATCCCCTGAACCTAATAACTAGTTGTGCCTCAATGTCAGCAATAACTGTATTAAGCATGCCTGATAACTGGTAATGAGTTTTTTTTTTCTTTTTTTATAATTGTGAAAGAATTTCATCCCACAAGTATTTTTAGAATTTGTTTACTTCAGTCATATTGGAGGGTTGAACAGCTTGCTTCCCATCATGTCACAGAATTGCAATAGGATTTAAGCCATACTTGAATAAATAAGTCCCCCATTTTAATTAAATTGCTAAAATAAAATAACAGCCTTGTAACATACAGAGTCAACTGAACAATGAGTCAAAATTCTAAAAATGATTTCTATTCATATCATACCATTTTTTTTTTCATTATGGACAGAAATACATGAACGTATAAATATTATATTATTATATATTACCAGACTATGAATTTAGGATAATTAATTTTCTCCAGATATCACAGAAATGTATGTTACCTCCAAGGACAAAGGATTGGTAGAAAACAGCACCAGTTTTTAAATCCCAAACCTGAAAAAAAAAAAAAAAAATCAGGTAAAGTAATCTTTAACAAATGGTACATGTATACGTACATAGTTACACATAAACACCTTAAAAGTCCGATCCTCTGAGGTGCTGACAAGAATATTTGTGTTCCATGGACAGAACTCTGCAGATGTTAAAAATCCAAGATGGCCATTTAATGTGCAAATCACTTCTTGTTTCTGATGTAGGAGACAACAGCCAAAATCAGATTTGAAGCAATAATATGCAGCTTTTAAAAGTTGGATGTAAAGATTAATTGTATACCAGTGACATTCAACACATGGAACATTTGTCTTTTAAATAGAGATAAGTGTCTTTTATTTATTACAATAGTTATAAAACTAAACATTAATTCAGAGCACAGTGAGCAAGATGTTCATGGGACATAACAGTAATATGAGTTACACCTTAAAATCTGTAGATGCTCTTGTGCTATACTTAACACATAACTATTCAGCTATTAACTATGTAAATTTAATAGTAATTTTAATAATTGCCATTAAAATATTATTTGTGTCCACACTGATGTACCTTTGAATTGAGAACATAAATAGTTGTTCCTGAGCAGACAGCTACCAGTTCATCATTGGAACAGAATGAGAGATGCACAACATTCCCCAGTAAAGTACCGATCACTGTTCCAGCAGCAAGTTTACCTGCACACAAACTTATTTAGTTTATTTAAACTGAAAATTTAGGAAGTCTAAGACCACAAAAGACACAACAGAAAAAAATATGGCTGTATAAACTACTAAACAGATTTGTTAAAGAACAGAATATTTTGTGAAAAATTGATAGGCTAGCATTACAGAAGCTACAAGAAAATATGACAGAACTGCACTGCAGACACAGAACTTTTACCCTCTTCTGTTCTTTTCAGACATGCCTCAATATCCCAAATTATAATATATTCAGAAGAGGCAGAACATAAGGTAACAGGACTGCTTCTTTTTCCGAAAGTCATGGCACTGATGTCACCATGGTGACCTGTTAGTAGCAGTGGCTGTAAAGAAGAATACAAAATTTTTATATAGATATATAAACTGCATACATAACATTTATGTTCTAAGTCACAGCCGTATCAATATAACTAAGTTGTTTGAATTAAATTCCTCTTGCACATAATAAACGAAATGTGAACAAACCTTTTGTTGTGTCTTCTTATTGCTGTAAATGAGCACATTCTTGCCCTGGTGAGGTATACCACAGTAACGGTCACAGCATGCGAGCTGTTGGTGAGACAGGAGTATATCACACGTAAAACGCAACTTTTCCTTAATCATTTCAGCCTCGCTCTTGTGTTTCGGAGATGTATTTTTCGGTTAAAGTCATTTAAATTTAAGATAGCATTTTTGTTGGGTAGAGGTTTTGAGAGTTCAAGGAAGAGACATTGAGCGTTGCTAAGACACGCTTCCGCAACGAAAGATCGTCTAGGTAAGAAAACGTTTACTTACGTCAGGCGTCCTTGTGGATTGATTATTTCGTATTCTTTAAACTATACATTCTTATCATTTTATAAAGGCATTTACGTGCTGTTTATAACGTAGTCCACTATAATAATTTATTTTGCGCATGCATTATACTTTATATTAACCTTGTTTGAAAATACTGTCAAAGTGATACATCTTTTAATCACATCTATACTTGTAGTTCCTTGTTTGACCACAAGATGGCATCAACTGTTCATTGTTTACTTTATAGATTTATATAAGAGATCAGTGGCTGCGAACGAACTCTGCTACTGTTCACCACAAAAAAAAAGAAA